CTTTCCAATAACACAAAGGATGGTAGGCAAGTGAGAAGGGTAGGGTGCCCTAGAGCTGGAGGTGGGCGGGGATTGCATGGCTACCAGGGGGCATCATGGCTACCCCTGGAGAACAAACCTGCTACAAATGTAAAATGCATAGACAGTCTGAAAAGACAATTCACTGATAGGCTGCATTGTCACTGTGACAAATTAACCAGTGTATGTTTGGTAATAAAACCTGCCCTTGTCCTCAGGTATTCCTCTGCTCAGGCATACCTCTGACATCATGGCTGGATTGGGAGCAAGGGAGTGGATCAGTGTCACACAATGCATAGCGTCTCTTCTATTCTGGAAGGATAGATGCATGGTGAGGTACTTTGGCTCAAGGACAGTTAGGGTCAATACTACTCTCTACACTGGTTAAGAAAGTTCATCTAGAAAACTTTTCATCTCCTACTTCAGCTATGAAAAAACCAGACATAGTGTTAAAGAAAATGAATTAAATTGCATTTAAAAAAAAAAGACTTTGACAGGGGTCCTGAAATTTTGCTCAGCAGTAAAGGAATGTTATCCTGAAAGCATTTAAAAAACATTATCTTAAACTATAGCATTATCAGTCTAACTATAGTATCTATGCAGTGTGGGTGAGTTACACATAAAAATAAATACAGCTCTGTCTTATCGGAAAAACACTACTGTTTAATTATCATACTAATCTCTGAATTTGATTATATATATTTATGAGATAATGCCAATATAAGAGTAGTTACAACAGGGATAATAGCCTCTAACTGCTAAATAGATACCTCTGTCAACCCATCTTTTAGTTAGCCCTGCAAGGAGCCCAAAGATGTACAAAGGATGGTGTTTTGTACACTTTGTTGTTCTCCCCTACTGCGTAGAACAGGTTTTTGATCAATGCCTTGCTTACTGCCTATTTCCCAATTAAAGCCATCTGATTATGCAGTGTCCATGAAACATTATTCTGTCTTTCGAAGTTGCTCTCATGCCCTTAATGTGTTTGACTTCCCTTCCTTCATATGTACACATTCCCTTTTATTAGACAAAACAAAAAACAAAACGTGCCTCTGTATATTTATACAACTTTTGGGGGAAAATAAAAATGATAATTTACAGAATTAGAATCAGGGCACTCCTCTATACTATTGCAATATGAAAACAACAAAATGATATAGTGGTTGCTACACACCATGTTAAGGATTGTGAGCAAGGAAAACTATGTATAAACTATTTTCTAAAACATGTATCCTATAACTGTTTAAGAGTTGCTGTTGTTTGTATTTATATGTCACTTACATAATTAATAGAAACTAATTTGCATTCATTAGGATATTAATGGATTTAGTTACAAACACAATGGGAAGCCTTCCATTTGTGTAATAAAATGTTACTATAGAATCAAAAATGTATAAATCCATATTTTGTGTCTTTCTCAAAAAAACGTACAGCACATACCATTTTTGATTCTAACGGATGTGCCAATAGAACGGAGTTCTGGCTCAACAACTGTCACGTGAGAAATTCATGTGTGGGCCTCAGGTTGAGGTAACTCTTGAATGTAATAGATATCTAGCAATCCAACTTTTTTGCATCACAAGTTTGGGCCAAGAAGGAATTCCCCACCTACTCCCTGCACCTCATGCAAGCTACTCTTTTGTTCACCCTCTCTGAAGCACTGTGATGTTGGGCACAGCTATGGATAGCAGATTTTGACTATGGTGTGCTCCTGCCTGTATTTCGAGGGTCTTGCTCAGAGTTAGACTGATCACCAAATTTGGAGTCAGGGAAGGAAGTCTTCCCTTAAATCAGACTGGCATGCACTTTTTTGCCCTTTTTCTGATGATCATTCTGAAGATGATCTTTTTCTGCAGGTTTTCTGAGTACGTATTAACCAACTACTTCCCTGTTGTTACAGTGCCAGGGCTCTGAGAGCACCCTTATCTTACCTGCTTTTCCCTATGGCTTGTTATATGCTTATCTTGGTATTTTGGGTATTGTACCTGGTAGCTGTGAGAATCTGAAGTGCTAATTTAGAGGATTTCTTGGTTAAAGGATTACCTGTTAACGTAGAACAATGGACCTGATTGCCCACTTATCCCTATATTCCGATCACAATGAATAGCAAGAAGGATAATATGGGAGTAACTATAGAGCCAGATTCTGCAAAACCTGTACTCATATTGCAAAGGATCTGCTGCAAATAATCCCGGTGTAATTATAAGAACAAATTCATAGCTGTCTCTCATCAGTACCTGATACAGCTCTGCATCTATGTGCAAAATGCATTGCTCAAATGAATACATGTGCACATACATAAAAGCAAGGACCTGACCACCCTACAATTTTTTTTATTTTTATGGAATTTTTAGCCATACATTTCATTTCTCTACACTGGTCACAGGAACTGGGGGATTGCAATATGGAACATCATATCACACAAAGCTCCTCTAGGATACTTCTGTGCCCAGCTCAGCCATCCTTAGGACAGTTTTCTGCAAATAAGGGAAATAAAGAAGCCCTAAGACAGGAGAATCTGGTCCCAGGAGAATACTTACATTCTAGGATATTATCCCAAGGTACTGAGCAATGTAGATATGTATCTTTCCACCAGATGTGTTAGTGTATAAACTCTCTTTCCACATTTTCTATTCCAATATTTAGTATTTCTTTCACAGGAAATAATTTTCTTGCTGAATTTATGACAGGACAAGCAGTGTACTGGTATAAACAGGTAAAATTCCACTGTCATCAGAGGTCTGTACATTTACACCAACAGAGACTATTTTCCCCATGGCTTTTTAGTGTGACATTATTTAACAGGTTAAATGAGTATCTCTCTATTTTATTTTAATAATTTTGCAATTAGCATTTTACATTTAAAAAAAAAGTCCTATAAACCATACTCAGCAGGAATATAGATTCATTCTGGAATCCATTGTTCAAGCAAGAGCATTCATTTACAATCTGCCAATATAAACACTTAATAAGAAAAATGCAGTGAAATGCCAAGTAAAAGCTTTACAGATCATTTTTATCTTTTTTCACAGAAGATCAACCATGGCAAAATCAATCAAACTATTTGGAAAGATTGATCTCTAATTACAAGGACTGAATAATAAAGAAAATAAAAGAAAACTGTGAAGAAAATAAATTCTGCAGTTTAATCTGAAACACATTTTTCTTTCAATGGCTATATTGAGATGATCTAGTTGGGGCTGGCCCTGCTTTGAGCAGGTGGTTATGTTAAATGACTTCCTGAGGTCCCTTTCAGTCCTAAGTTTCTGTGATTCTATGATTTGATATAAATACATTCCTTATATGATATAGGAGGACCAGAAATGCCTAAAATGATAATCATTCTTAGGTGTTGCTCCTTAAACAATGGATTTTGTACTTGAGAGCAGGTCAAAGTCTAAATGACTGAGAGAAGTATTCTCTGAGAATTGGCATCCAACATGGGTATAATTAATGGCCAGGCATGTGCCAGGCCCTTCCAGACACTGACATATTTACATTTTAAAAGGAGGCCTGTGGCAAGAATGACACCTGTTATTCTTGCTATTCAGGGAAGGACATTACTCACAGTTGGAAAATTAAGGGAGAGACAGATTCCTTAGGATGTTGCATTAGCTATCATTATGCATAAATGGATGTAAATATTCTCTGGGTCTCAAACAGATATGCCAGTGAGGAGCAGGAAGTTTTATGCATAGTATGAGCTCCCTCAAGAATCAAACTGATAATATATGTAAATGGCTAGATAAGCCTTGCCATGGGAGAAAGCATTTGTCTTCAGTTTTCTTGGGTGTAGGGAATGACTTTAGGTCCTCAGGTAGCAGTCTGGGTGTAATATGCTATCAGGAAAAGTTGCAGGGCGCCCTGGCAGGAAGGTCAGAGGCAGCAGCTCTTTGGAACCTGGTAAGCAGAAGAGAAGCTACATTTATAGAGTTTAGGGCTTAGATGAAAGGATAAGATCAAATTATAACTCTGATATTTCCCTTTGTTAATTTTTTTTATCTCTATCTAGCTCAATATTGTTATGATTCTTTATGATTGCTCTTGTTGTTATAATACATCTTTCTGTTATCTTTTATAACTTGGTTTCAAGGATAAGTGCATTTTCAGTGCACATATAGGCAGACCTCCTCTCTGCGGGGGGGGGGGCAGTGCGGGGCAGGAATCTAAAATTTCTGAGCCCATGACTGAGCAAGAGTGTAATTCTTGTAGTTGGCATAATTCCCTCTGCTAAGAGATGCAAAGACATAGATAAGTCAAGTAAAGCTGAGGCACCGTAAGACAGGAAAGTAACCTTAGGAGCATCTCAGTCTGTACTCAGCAGCAGATGACACACAGGGGTTTGGGGCTGCAGAGCAACCCTGAGGGTGTGAGAACCATAGGAGCACGTCTCAAAGGTGCATCTGACCAAATCCCAGGTAAGGGTGTGCCACACTGCATTGTAGACTCAGTCTTAGATGACAGAAGATGGGGGGACAGAAGCACTTGGTATCTCAGCAACTGGCCGGAATTGCTGTGTAGCAGGGGCATCAACTATATGGCCTACTTGGCCTGTCACCACGTGGCCAGCTGTTTGCATCGTCTCTGCTGTGGTTATACATAGCTTCTCGCATGGCCTCTTGCCCTATGGCCCAGATCTGGCCTGGTACAGGGGTTGAGTTTGACATCCCCACTGTGGACAGTAGAGTTCCAATTTGTTAAACGAGTTCCTGCTCAAAGTTGTTTGTGGCCAATCTCATTCTTGCCATTTTAAGGTTAACGAGCAAGATAAAAGTTATGAATGAGATTTTCAAAAGCACAAAGAACAGTTCTAAATTCATCCATCCATTTGTGCCTTTAAAAATATCCCCCTGCATCACTAGAATGCCTACATGTGGTTTAACCTATTTACATTTCATGGATGTGATGGATTTTGAAGTGCAGAGGAAACCATTATTATTGCCTAGTCTGACTGCTGCATAACCTATGTCAAAGAACTTCACCCAATTATTTTTCTGTTGACTTCTATTTGAACCAGTACATCATTAAAGAAATCTGGATTTGATTCAAAGACTTCAAGCAAGAGACTCTACAACATCTCTAGACAAGGTTCCCTTTGTTTAATTGCCCTTACTACTAAAAATTTACACCCTTATATACAAGTCTGGATTTATCTGGCTGCTTCTCCCAGCTAAGGAATTTTATTAAGGCTTGTTTTTCTAGATTAAAAGAACCATCTACTAACAGAAAACTCTGCGTATGTAAGTACAATGATTAAATCAAGTCCTAAAATTCTCTTCACTTTAGAACAAGGATTTCAACCTCATATTTTAAAATGAGGATTCCACATAAAAATGGTGGGCTTTTTAAAATGGAGCATTTAATTTAATAATGCATGAAAAACACATAAAAACCCTTTTAAGAAAAGTTATAAAATAAATTAGAAAATTGTAAAAAGTATTTCATGCTGGTTTAAAATTAGGGGAGTATGTGCTGTTCTAGTATAAACTTGCTGGAAATCGCTAAAACAGTTGTTTGTATTCATTAAGCAACTTAATTTAAAGCATTACAATCATATAAAATCTTATCATCCTTTATTATTTTTCCAATCAGGATGGGGTGTAGACCAACTGAAAACTCATTTGATCTAGATGTCAAGAACATCCTTTTCTATGTGTTTTGTTTTTTCCATTTCTAGCAATACTATGATAGACATAGTGACTATATAATATATGCTCTGTGTCTCTGTCTCTGTGTGTTCACACAAGTATATAATGCTCATAGTGTAATCTGCTATATGTACTATGAGCATTATCATTTGTTGGTGTTTTACTGAAGTGGCTACTGAAGGCTATGTTTGTGTATAGATGCAAATGATAAGTCATAATTTTCTGAGAAGATAAGTATATTACTGTTGACTTGTTTAGTAGTAGACACTAGGCTAATGTTGAAGTCTGGGAAGGGGAAGTGAGCAACTTCACACAGGATATTCAAGTATTTTCTTTATGTTCTTAAAGTAAATGTAAGAAGTCATTTTATGTATGTTCGTAGTACTAGCTAAGATGTGTTTGTGCTGAAGACAATAATCTCAAAGTATATCTCATGTTTTACTGGTGGGTTTAACACAGAAAGAACCAATGACATTTGTATTTTACATATCAGAAAAATGTGTTGTATTGTAGGCACATACCACAGCATGAATGGAATGGGATCTTAGCATGTCCCAGCAAACCAGGAGATGGATCCTCAGATGGTGTAAAATGAGATTGTTTCACTGAGAGCACTGAGGTCAATGATGCTTTACACTAGCTCTGGCTCAAGTTTTTCATAAGGCCTGCCTCGGGAAGGAGATGCTGGCATATTTGTACCTCTCAGGCACACTTTTCAAAAGAGAGGGACTTAAGAAGTCACACAGGGAAGAGGTAAGATGTATGAGCATTATACTACCCTCATTTTTTCAACTTAGTTTTCCTTTAATAAATATTTCACATGTACACTAATAATTGCCCAACACACAGATTCTACAAACAAGCCACTCTCCTCACCTTTTTTCTCTCAAGCTAGAAAGAATGAAAGAAGTAGACACTTACTCAGGGGCAGCATCTACACATGATGCCACATTGCTGTAGCAATGTGCCATGGTGATGTAGCATCTGCGGCCAAAAATTGTGATGCTGCAGCAATGTTTCTGTAGCAACGTGCTCCCTCAGCATAACATGTTGCTACAGCAATGTAGCAGCTAAAAATAACCATGTGCCACACGCATGGCGCAGTATTGGCTGTTACTCCACCGTCATTTAGTACTTCCAAAAGGAAGTACTAAATTATGGCACAGTAACAACGGCGCCATAGGGGCATGTGTAGACGCACCCAGGAAGTGCTCAAAGGGTGCAAACAGAAGTTGCCCTTGTGCCACCATAAACATTTTTATGGCAGCACATATTGTAAGTGAACAGATGTCCCAGCCCCTTGTCATGCTCCAACTGCCCAACAATGTTTGTACGACCAAACCTAGTCACTGGGAGTGCATCTACATGTGTACTTAACTGCACAGTAGACTAATTTGCTGCAATGTAAAGTGTCACAGTTTACACATGCTATGCTATTAAACCATAGCAAACTAATTTTCACTGTCATAAGATAGTACTGTTGGGGAACTGTTTAGACAAAAATAACTGCACCTAAATGCACATGTAAATGCTGACCCAAGTATACATTGCTGCCAGTCACCACAGGCAGCAGGAGACCAGACCCCTTCCTGCTGCTGAGCCATAGGGCTCTGCATGCTGGGGAACTCTTGTGCCCCAGCAAGTCTCTCCACCACCTACCAATTTCTCTCAGAGCTCAGGGCTGACCCCCAGGTCCCTGGCCAGCCTGGAGTTGTTCTACCCCAGCTCAAATTGCTGTGGTCCTGGGTGCAACATCTGTATGTGAGCCTTGGACTGCAGCAGTTTGAGCATCTACGCATGCCATTAATGCCATTAAGGTTCTGTGATACACTCTGATGCAAACTGCACACAAGCTCTCTGGTGCTGACACACACACAAACAAATTGCACTGGAGTTTATCACAACACTTGGCATCTGTAGATGTACCCAGTTTGTGACCTTATAGGGGAGGAAATCTGTTTGCTTATTGTGTACAACAGGAAATTCCCAGGGTGTACTTGAAGATGCGTTATGTTGCCTTACCCCTGACCCAGAACATACATTTCATACTGACATCGCTTGACCCAGGACATACATCACAAGCAGGAGAACCTCCATGGGATTCCCAAGGAGTACATTTCAGGGGTCAGGCCATGGCAGATATTCATCCTATAATGGGGTCAGCACCCAGATTGAGACCAAGAAGCCCCAGGAGCAATAGTAGCCCAGCCAGGTTGGGCAGCAGTCCTCAAGATATTTATTTCTGTTGATCATTTTGATCAGTTGTGCTGTGACATATCTAGGATAGGTAGCAACACAGCTGATACCACAACAAAAATGACATCTGTTTGTACCCAAATGCTATAGTGTGGGAGTGCCTATAAGAATTTAGACAGACACACAAATCACTTAGTATAGTAGCATGTTGCCTGCAAATGATTAGTATTTAGTTCTGAACACTGGAAGATACATATTGTGCTCATTTTGCACAAGTCTACAATCCTACACTCTTTGAGATCACTCAACTGTAGAATATGTCACTCTTATGCTGATTCTTTATCATCATTTGACCTAAGCAGGAGCCAAGTTCAGTGAAGCAGGCTTATTTATATTTTATCTGAACCAGTTCTCCAATTTATATTGAAAAATATATTCCTATATCATAACCATGCTTCTTTATAAAGTATGGTTATGATATAGGAATATATATCATAACTTCTCATTCTAGAAGTTTCCAAACATAAATCATATAAACAGGAGTACTTTATTTTTCTCCAACTGTTGCAGGGTAACCACCTTTGAAGTAGAACATGGCAACTGTGACACAGAATAAGTCCTTCTGAATGTATCAAATGTCCAAGATGTGTGGCATCTCAGGAGACAGGCTGCATGAAGTCAATACAAACTTCTGGATGGCAGCCTAGGAATAGGCCATCCATAAGACACTTGCAAGGACAGTAGCAAAAACTTTTACCTCTTACTGTAAACAGTTCTGTGTGTAGGTTCCTGTATAATATAAAGAGCTTTTGACACACCACAAGGCCCATGAAGATACCACAACATCTATGTAAGAACACAAACTAAGATTAATACAGATCAGAAGGAGAAAGATGAACCATTTATGCTGCCTAAAATTAGACCTCCTTCTGCAAACATAACACAGAGACATCTTTCCAGTGAAGTCTTTGTCTTTCCTCAAAGGAAAAGCCCATATCCCTTCAAAATAGGCTTTCCTGGCAGAATATCCTGTTTTTTGAGAATTGCTGAGATGCATTTTTTTAAAAAAGTACTTTGACTGAACTATTAAGTGAAGGGACATGTTAAACTGTAAAATGTAAATAAATCTTTTTGAACACGACTATACAAATGACAAGGCCAGGTCATTAGCACTGTTAAGTGCTACTGTAATGTGATTGTAATGTGTGTAACAGCAGGAGGAACCAGGGGGCAGTCTGCAGAGTTTTGCTGACTGTTAATTTGGACTACAACTCCCAAAATCCCCCAGGTGCTGGGGGGCAGGGAAAAAGGAGGTGTAAGCTTGAGGCTGGGGACAGGGAAGAGCCTACACATGGAACCTAGTCAGCTCTACACAGAGGAGCTGGAGATCTCACTGGCTCACATGGGCAACTGGTGCCCTCCAGGTTGCCATTGGGGGAGGCCCACAGCCAATTGCCAACCCTGTGGGGGGGGGTCTCCCCGCACCTGATCACCAAGTGTGTAACCACCAGCAGTGAAATTGGTGAAATGGGAAGTGCACTTCCGACCACACTTCTGGTTTTGCAGCTGGCGCTTCCAGGGGGTGCACAGCCAATCTCAGGGGGTACACGTGCATCCCCTATGCATCACCAATGCTAGCTCAGAAATCCAGGACTGTGGACTGAAGGAGCTGGACTTCGATTTGGGGGCAGCTACAGGTTACTGTTTGAGTGCTCTATAAACTAAAGGCTTTTTGGGGAAACTTTGAGGAGTGTGCAGGGGGAGGGGGTGGAATTAAGGTGCTTCCCTCCTTTTGTGTGTCCTTGTGTGACAAGGTATTTAGCAGAATTCACAGATTTCATTGCAATCTGACAGGTCGTGCCATGAGTACTTCTGCTGTAGCCTCAAACTTGCGATCTCTGCGCTGTCAACCATGCACCACCCCGGCCCCCATTAAGGTGATGAGTAAACAGTATCATAGTGTTGATGTTTCTTTACCTTTTACCTGCTCCCCCCTTTGGCCTGTTACCCGGTGGCCCTAACCCCTATGATTTTTCTATATAAAAATGGAAACTCTCCCTTGCTTCTTGTGGGGCTACAGGTTGACACAACAGCATTTTTGTGTGCCCAAAGAAGAGTGCGTGTGCCCAGAAGCTTGCAACTAAAGAATATTTTTTGCAAATATCTAAGTTGATCTAATAAAAGAAAGCACCTCTGTCATGAGTTTTGATTCCTTTTGCCTATAGACCTGCATCCCTGAAACATGGCAGATATCAAATTTAGCTATTTTTAAATGAAAATTTCATAATTTTAAAAGAAAAAAGCAAAATCTATCACCTGGAAACCTGAAAGGTGACACGTTGCTCCTGCCTGTTGTTGGAGCTAAACTTGCAGTCTCAGAGCTCAGAGGCACCTCAACACAAAAGAAATTCCTTGCCCTGGAGAGTATCCCATCTCCCCACTCTCCAGTGAAATAAGAAACATCATAACCAGAAGGAAACATAATTCTACATCCTTCTTGCCACCATACAACTTTGAAATAAAAAGACTGTTCTAACTTATATTTGAGCCAAATCTGCACCAAATTAACTATTCCAACCTGGAGATTTTACAACACCTTTAGCTCTCCTGTGAAATATGAAATTTCATTTCCACCTAGGAGAAATTTTATAATCTTTGCATTCTCCTATGCCTGAAAAAGAGTGAGTATGCCCGAAAGACTGCAAATAAAGGAGCTGTTTTGCAAATATCTAGTTGGTTTAATAAAAGATATCATCTGTGCCATGAGTTCTGATTCCTTCCACCTCACAAGTCAACATTTTAGTTCAATATATGAAGGGCCTGTTCTAAGTAGGAGAACTATTAAAATATTGTAGCAGCTTCTGCTTGCTTTGTGATTTTGGTCACTATATTTTTTATTCATACATTTGATACAAGGGCATAGTCTTGGTGGCATAGACTGAAGAATATTCTGGCAGTTAGAAGAGTGCTCCTAAGTCTAGCACATTTCTTTCCTGCACAGCTTTGGTTACAAAGCCATTTAACCAACATTTGTGAAACTGGAACAACAACATTCCAACATTGCAAGGTGAGAACACTTATATATTTACTCTATGTTTTGCAATGGGAGAGGGGAGAAAGTATAATGATTACCTATAAAACTGCATACAAAGCATGCCACAAAGAACTTCAGAACTGTGTTTCATTACCTAGGCATATTTTGATATATTAGGAAGAACAAAGCTCCAAAAGTGTCATTTAGCTCAGGCCGTTTTTTTTAGATTTATAACCTGCTGTTATGGGGCTGATTGGTACTAAAGCCCTTAGAATAGTCCTTGAATAAGAATTAGTAAAAATATGCCAAATATACTCAAGCATAGGTCATTATTATTTGATATACTGTAATAAGTTTAACCCATTTTCTCCAGCCTAAATGAAGAAACATTGTCTTATTTTCCAGGAACTCTGTAAGTGGCACAAATTTGAAACATTAATGTCTACCTCCCTAGATAGGAGACAGAAATTTGCTTTAGGTCACTAACAAAATCCATATACTAGGATCAAATATACTTTGGAACCCCTGATCACAAATCTGTAACACTACTGGCAAGAGAAACAACATAGATGTTGTATAGGTCAGGAAAAAAGTACACTGGCTCTGGGAAAAAGTTTTTGGAATAGCATCTGTCTACAACCTTCTAGACTCTAAAAGGGCCAATTTGTCATTTTTAATAAGCACAAAACACATCCATGACATTTGAAAATACATTACCTTCACTACCTTTGAGTTTCTAAACTTTTAAGTTCTTCGTGTTACAGCCTTCTAAATCTTTTTCATATAAAAAAGTGACTAAGATCAGCATAATTTAAAATCTTCTAATGAAATGTAGCTTAAAATTAGGAAACTATCAAAATCTCTTATTTTTTTTCAAAAAACAGGACTGGTGAGATCTAAATCATATATATTTAGACCAGAATAATAACTGATTATGTAGCTATCTTATTGGCTGATTAAATATCTGCAAACTGATTTAGATTTCCTTGAATTTGTTTTTCATATATGTTATAGTCTATGAATTTGTTTAAGATAAGTTTCCTGTTAATACTTGATAACATATGGAATTCTAGCTGTGTTACTTAGGAATTATCAAGTAAAGAACACAGAATTGTCCTTTTCCTGAGTAAGCATGGAAATACTATCTTCAGGTATATATGCTTATGCCAAGTTAAAAGTGGTTTCCGGATATCCTAATGCTCATGTCTTTAACAAATCTGTTTTGGGGACAAGATGTAGGCAAATAACATTTGATCACACAGATGTTTTGGAAAATATAACTAACAGGCAATGAGCATAGCAAAAGCCATATATTCCTTCTTCTTTAGGAATTCCAACATTGCGCTTCTGCTGGACAACATACAATCTTCCAAAAATAATTAATAATGGGTAACTGGATGAACAGAAAATGGCAACACTCCTTTTGACATACTATTCAGGCTCATGCTACCTCCTGAAAATTATGGCATAGTGTGGACAGAAACAAATAACAGCCTTAACACTTCCTGGTCATTGTCTATATTTAACTTTGGTTACATGACTTTAGTTCATCATAACTCAAGAGGTGTTATTACTGAGGGAATTGGCTGGTGTCATTGTGGAGCCATTGGCATGGCTGTTCGAGGACTCCTGGTGCTCGGGCCAAGTCGCTGAGGACTGGAAAAGGGCCAATGTTGTCCCTATTTTCAAGAAGGGGAGGAAGGAAGTGCCTGGCAACTACAGGCCAGTCAGCCTCACTTCTATCCTGGGGAAGGTCTTTGAAAAAATTACCAAGGGCCACATTGGTGAGAGCCCTGCAGGGGAAGTGATGTTGAGGGGTAACCAACATGGGTTCATGCCAGGCCAATCCTACCTGACTAACCAGGTCTCTTTCTATGATCAGGTAACAAAGAGCTTAGATGGGAAGAAGGAAGTCGATGCCATCTTCTTGGACTTCCAGAAGGCCTTCGACACAGTGTCCCACCCAATTCTGGTGGGCAAGCTGAGGGACTGTGGCATTGACGAATGCACAGTCACATGGGTGGCAAACTGGCTCCAGGGG